GTACAGCAACATTTATATATTTCTTAACTTACACAGTCAACATGTTTGTCAGAATTCACCATAGATATATAAACACACATAGTTACGTATATTGTTTCTTTAATAGTTGCATTGTGTTTCACTGTGTAAATACAGCATTTATTTAAACATTCTCTGGCTGATGAACATTTAGGACATTTCTACTGTTTCAGACAATGCTATTTAAATACCCTAAGAGTGGAATTATCAAATTAGAGCATATCCTCCCCCAAGTCCCCTTCCAGGTGGATGCATAAATTTCCACTCCTTCCTTAAATTGATCATTTTTCTAAACTCATGCTGTTTCTAGATTTATCTGTTCAGTGATCCAGATAGTAAAGTCTTGTTAGTGATCCTGCTCTTAGGTAGAAAACATATGTCTGCCATTTTGAACTTGAATTTTTTTGTTTCACTAAATAAAACTATGACTCATGATGTTTCCCTCTTTATTCAGCTACTCAGATTCTTAGCTAACTTTTAATTGTATTCTTTTCTTAGTCTATATTTTCTTCTAGAATTGTTTTATATAACTTAGGATACATCCATTACTTCTTTTTATTGTTTTAATGAGTTGTGTTTTATTGAAAGGTATCTCAAATCCTTTTGAAATATGAAGTGTATACATAAATACTATAGAGAAGAACCATGTTCAATAGGATCAGACTTCAGTTTCCAAAGTATTTTCATATACATGACCTCATTTGATATTTGCATTAATTGTACTTACTGGCTAGAACCCAGATGCTTTTATTTTTATAGAAGAGATAACAGAATCAAATAACAGTTTAGTGATGGCTGGGCACAGTGGCTCAGACCTGTGATCCCAACACTTGGGGAGGCCAAGGTGGGAGGACTGCTTAAGGCCAGAAGTTCAAGATCAGCCTGGGCAACAAAGCAAAACCCTATCTCTACAAAAAAAAAATATTTTTAGAAAATTAGTGGGGCCTGATGGCCTGTGCTAGCTACTTGGGTGACTGAGGCAGGAGAATCACATGAGCCCAGCAGTTAGAGGCTACAGTGAGCTATGCTCTTGCCACTGCACTCCAGCCTGGAAGACAGGACAAGACACTGTCTCAAAAGAAAAAAATTAAAACAAAAAACTGTTAGTGATGGAACTGACACTATAACCCAGTCTTGTCATACATGAGTTTACTATTTCTGCTTCCTTCTTCCCACCTTGAGGTCACTGCTCTGTAGTCAAGAAGAAAGTGGTATTTGTTAAATACGGTAGAATTCGCTCATTAACTCTAAATGAGAAATTGTAGTTTGATTCTGTTAACCTTCTGATTCTTACAGGTAATCATGCAAAATTAATCTTAGAATAATTCTTACTCTTTTTTTTCCCCTTGCCTAAGATAAGTAAAACTTCTGGGATTAGCTAAACTAGATCAGTGCATATGCCAATATCTTAATTTTCACAAGTATCATTTTGCTAAGCTAATCACACTGTAGCTATTAACCCTTCTTATTTCTTAATTGGGCAGTATATAATCAATTTTCCATGTACAGATGACTCAGGCTGTTACCATTTCCCATAGCTGGTGGACAGCTGATCCCAAACTAATTCCCTTCTAGTGGACATTAACGTGCTTAAGTCAGGCATGTTGACTTTCCTGCATTGTTTACTTTTTTCTTCTTCAGGTAAAATCAGTTATGCAGTTTTATATGTGATACTGTGATTTCTGGTCCTTCTCTTTCTGAAAAGTTTGACCCCTACAGAGGGAGAATTGTCTAGGGAGGATATTGCTACCTATCTAAAGAATGCTTCTTCCAAATAAATAATCTAATTTTTAAATTAAATTTTTCTATGTACTGTAGCATAAAGGTGATTTAGTTTTTCATAAAGTGAAATATCTACTAGTATGAGCAAACGACTGATTTATTGTTTAACAAGTGAATGGCATGTGTGGTTAATTAGGGTATAAACAACAAAGGATTCTATATGAGAATGTTTGGATATGTATTAAATTAGAAATGACAGTAAAACATTTTTTTCTAAATGATGATCTTGAGTTGATTTTAAAATTTCATAAGAGACTGTTAATAATTAAGTTCCATAGGATATTTCAGTTGTTTCATTTAGTGGATTCGATATTGTTAATGAATTTTTACAACAGTTAGGGAATAAGATGCACTGATGAACTGCTTTATTAATTATATGTTAAAACAACCATTTATTGGGTGCCTGTTTCGTGCCTGTCACTGTGCTAAGTGCATGAAAGTAGATAAGAAAAATCCTACTCTCCAGAAATTATTTACTAATGGGACAAGTATTAATACATTGTATAGTTAATGCTCAATGTATTAATACTTGTCAGAACCTCCTCGGAACCAAATAACTTCAGAAGGAATTCAACATTTTCCCATTTGCCTGTTTTTAAAAAAATTGTTAACAGCTATTATTATTATAAATTATAATGCAGTTCATAGAGTGCATTTCTATTATAGAAATTGAATATGGGTTTCCTGAGAAGCAGGTAACTTGAATATATCAGACCTTTCTTGGTGATGTTATTTGCTGTAATTTCTCCTGGATTATTTTACAAATTATTCTACATTGGATTTTAGTGTTTTAAAAGTCTTATATGATATTATTTAACTTGTAACTATAAAATCCATTGGATTTTAGTTGCCATTACCCAGGGAGGAGCAATACAGCTGGCTAACAATGGTACCGATGGGGTACAGGGCCTGCAAACATTAACCATGACCAATGCAGCCGCCACTCAGCCGGGTACTACCATTCTGCAGTATGCACAGACCACTGATGGACAGCAGATCTTAGTGCCCAGCAACCAAGTTGTTGTTCAAGGTAAGCAAATTCAGAATTCACAGGTGTGGTAAATTCTTCAAAATACTAAAATTTTATAAACTCACAGAAAAAGTAAGTATCATTTTGCAAAGCACTGTTCAAATGTAGTTAACATTTCTTCAATATAGATAGTATTTTTCCATGAACTCTTCCATTATTCCAATTGGACCAAAATGTCATGGCATAAAAACAACTATTTTCAGTTTTAAAAATATTACATCTGCATTTAACACCTTTATTATTTGGGGTACAAGAAACAGGGTAGGTTAGAAGGAAAGACCAGGAAATCAGGAGTTAAGAAAGATGGATTCTATAACTAACTGCATGGATCTGCTATGACACCTTGAGTAAAACCCAGCTTCTCTGGGCCTCAGAAAAGTATTTTGTTTGTTTCTTTCATGTGTCAAATAAGAGTTGCACTAAATCTCTGAAAAGAATCTTCAGAAGTTCAGGATTCTGTTTCTCTGCCTTTTATTCAAAAGAAATTTAAATCTTCTTTGCTAAAATCATCAGTTTTTATTATTATTGTTTTTTTTTTCTAGAGACAGGGTCTCGCCATATTGCCTAGGTTAGCCTTTAACTCCTGGCCCCAAGCAATCCTCCTTTTTCGCCTCGCAAAGTGCTGAGATGCCTCTCCACTTGACCCAGTTTTTATTTCATATGAAAACAGTATACTCCACAAGAACTTATACCAGTATGCAAATCTGCTGCTCTTTAGAGAAACAGTAGTCGTTAAATTTTTGACAAATTATAGAAGTTGCTTTTTTGGTTGTTGTTTGTTTTTGCTTTTTTTTTTCCCTGTGTATTTCAGGACTCCTTATGGATAGCAGTTAACCATTTTTCTTTGGATTTGTTTGAATATTTGAGGAACATAGTTAATGCCAGCTTAGAAATTTGCTGACTGAGGAAATAATAATTTGTTTCTGAAAATATTTTTATAAATAATAATGCATTTTGCCTGTGTTAGGTAATAATAGTTGTATTCTTTTACCATGGATAATTGAAGAATCCTGAAACACCAACTGGAGAGAGTCATAACTTATTTAAAGAACCCTAATGTTTACAGAATATATTCTGTTATTAAACAAGTATTTGAAAAAGATAATATTTTGCTTATTGATGAGAGTAAAACACCTTTTCACTTTACATGCAGGTACTCAAAAATTGTAAAGCAGGATGTCAGTGAATTTGAATTCTGAACGTCAGTTTGAAGATGGTAACATGTTTAGTATATAAATCTTTTCCACTCAAACCATACATTTTAATTGATATTAATAATTAATATGAATAATTTTATGAAGACCTTCAAATTAAGTAACATTAGGTTGCTTATTCTTAGGAGAACATACTATTATGCTGTTTTTAGAAGCAGTTTGACAAATAGTGATTCTGTTTGTTTTTACAAATGGTACATCAGTTAGAAAAATGAAACTTCAGTTTATTTAGCTATTATCATTTACATTAAAACAGTATGTTTTCAAATAATATAACTGGTATCAAGTGATACACTTTTTCATACTTTCAGTTTTGTTTCAATTAGAAATTTATAATAGTTGACCATAATGCTTTATTTTCTTTTTCATTTTGCTATTTTATGAAAAATCATGGTGGTTTTTATGTCGTGGCAAGAGTCTACTTGAAATTTTTTAATATGAATTTACCAATATCAAAGGAAGACATTGAGGACTATACTCTATCTAGGAAGATCATCCAAGCTGTGCCCCACTTACCTTTTAGACTTAAGGTTGGTAAGCATGTTAACGACAGAACGGAACTGCATTCAAATGAAAAATACAGTATAAGATCCAGCAGATATAGGTTGCTGTAATAAATACATTACATTGGGAATTATTTCTTAGTAGTGGTGCAAAGAGTGCTGATTCTTTCAATACTTTAGCCAGAATCATCTTTTCTTTTTTGTTTCCCTTTTAGTCCAAAATACATGCCTAGATTGATGATTGATATATATGATTGAATCAAGTTGCAATGTTTCTGTCTTACACCATGCTCACTATTTTTTTCAGCTGCCTCTGGAGATGTACAAACATACCAGATTCGCACAGCACCCACTAGCACTATTGCTCCTGGAGTTGTTATGGCATCCTCCCCAGCACTTCCTACACAGCCTGCTGAAGAAGCAGCACGAAAGAGAGAGGTCCGTCTAATGAAGAACAGGTACATAGACTGCATTGACTTAGACTGTTGTGGGTCACGTATGTCTTCACATTCTGCTGGATGTGTGTCTTTACATCTACTGGTAATAGGATCTTTGCATTTTTTTTTTTTCCTGGCAGAAGTAATGGATCTTGCTAAATTTTCTTTATTTAATAAGCTGCACTTATATGGCTGTAGGATTATGGGTCAATCTTTGGTTATGGAGTAGTTTTCTTTTTTTTTTTTTTTTTTTTTTTTTTTGAGACGGAGTTCCGCTCTTGTTACCCAGGCTGGAGTGCAATGGCACGATCTCGGCTCACCGCAACCTCCGCCTCCCGGGTTCAGGCAATTCTCCTGCCTCAGCCTCCTGAGTAGCTGGGATTACAGGCACGCACCACCATGCCCAGCTAATTTTTTGTAGTTTTAGTAGAGGCGGGGTTTCACCATGTTGACCAGGATGGTCTCGATCTCTTGACCTCGTGATCCACCCACCTCGGCCTCCCAGAGTGCTGGGATTACAGGCTTGAGCCACCGCGCCCGGCCAAGGAGTAGTTTTCTTTCATGCAGTTTCCCCACAGGAGATTTAATGCACAACTAGCCTATGTTTGCACTCCAACCAGCTAGCCAGGTTACTTTAAAATGGTTTCATTTCATATGTAGTATTGTTCAAGAAGATCAAGAGTTTCACATATGTGTATTAGCTGTGTGTTAAGTTTTATCTATATTAAATTCACTTTATATAAAGTAAATGTATGGTAGCCAGTTCATGTTTTAATGAATATTATCTTTACTCAAAATAATAACATTTTAATATCTAAAGATTCTTCAGAAATACATTAATTCTAAGAATACCACGTTACGGACAAAAATCTTAAACTATAGTCTTCAAAAAATGATACATTCAAAATCTATGAAATGTTGGTAAAGCAATTCTCAGAAAGTAACTTCATTGCTATAAATGATTTTGCCATCAAAAACAATAAAAATAAGTTACTAAATATTTAGTTTAGAATTCTCATGTAGAAGTGACTGAGGCAGAAGAAAATGAAAATAAGGATATGTAAAGGTTTAAAAAGTTTGAGATTGGTAAAAGTATTTCACTGTTCATCCCAGGATGCTTCAAACACTGATAGAGTGAAAGAAGCAGGGCTTCCAAGTCCTAGCCACATCCCTCCATTTTGGGATAACATATTCCTTCTATACCTCAGTTTTGTAAAATGGGATTCCAGCACACATCCAGAGTATTGTTTTAAGAGTCAAGTAAGATAATTCCTTTGAAAGCACCTTGTAACTGTAGTGCTCTGTTGAAATGAGTTTTTTAAATGTGCAATTCCACTTACAGCTCAGATCAACTTCTTTGTTCCTAAAATATTCTTAGCTGTCACAATGTTAGTAAATTATATCTAAGCTGTGAGAAATGGCAAGATTTTCCCAGGATATTAGAAAAAGAATTGGAAACAAGCCAAGTGACTTTTTGTTCCCCCGTCCCGAGACAGAGTCTTGCTCTGTCGCCCAGGCTGGAGTGCAATGGCAGATCTCGGCTCACTGCATCACTGCAACCTCTGCCTCCCAGGTTCAAGCAGTTCTCCTGCCTCAGCCTCCCAAGTAGCTGGGATTACAGGCACCTGCCACCACACCCAGCTAATTTTTTGTATTCTTAGTAGACACAGGGTTTCACCATGTTGGCCAGGCTGGTCGTGAACTCTTAATCTCATGATCTGCCCTCCTCAGCCTCCCAAAGTGCTGGGATTACAGGTGTGAGCCACTGCACCTGGCCCCCAAGTGACTTATTTGTGCTCCATCCATCTGTGATTTTGAGTATTTAAGTTTTACTAAACAGAAGGATGAAAGCTGCATTCATCATTTAAATATATTTTTAAATATAAATTAAAATATTTTTAGTTTTTAAAAATGTTTATAAGGAAACCCTTAAAGTTAGAAGCAAGTCTGAAGAAGTCTCAAGCAAAGGCTGAGTAGTAATATTTAAGACAACACTGCTTACTAAAGTAAACAGTTCTAAGCAAACATAGAAGAGGAATCAGAAAATAAATCTTTTGATTATTAAAAACAACAGAAGGACTTCTATTTATGTCTGTGTAGTTTGGCTCTGTGGTACAAAATGGTTCCCCCCTGTTGACTGGCAGACCAAAGTTCCTTTTTCCTTTAATCGTTTCTCCTTCAGATTTATGACCACTGCCACCACCAAGTTAGGAACAGGGCACACGTAACTATAGTTCCTACCAACCTTTGCTTGCCTGAAATCTCCAGGGAAGCTGCCTGACTTACCATGGACTTTTTTTTTTTTTTTTTTTGAGATGAAGTTTCTCTCTCTCACCAGGCGGGACGGCAGTCTCGGCTCACTGCAACCTCTGCCTCCCGGTTCAAGTGATTCTTCCGCTTCAGCCTCTTGAGTAGCTGGGACTACAGGTGCGCACCACGAGGCCTTGCTAATTTTTTTGTATTTTTAGTAGAGACGGGGTTTCACCATGTTGGCCAGGATGGTCTTGATCTCTTGACTTCTGGTGATCCGCCCACCTCGGCCTCCCAATGTGCTGGGATTACAGGCGTGAGCCACCACACCCCGCCTGCGATGGACTCTTTTATAACATTACTTTGCTTGGATTTAGTTAACTTATTCTTTAAAAAGTAACCTTCCCATTGATTTTCCTATAGTTTCTTTTCCTCTTCATTACCAGATTACTACTGCTTCTACCTTTTCAGCCTCCATTCACTAGAATCTGGTGTCTGTGACTATCATACCATTCATATGTCTATAAATAGGTACAAATTCCCTCCCACTTGGCAAATCTAGTATTTTCTTTCATTTAATTTTAACTCAGGCCGGGCGCAGGCTGGGCGCAGTGGCTAACGCTTGTAATCCCAGCACTTTGGGAGGTCAAGGCGGGTGGATCACAAGGTCAGGAGTTCAAGACCAGTCTGGCCAACATGGTGAAACCCCGTCTCTGCTAAAAATAGAAAAATTAGCCAAGCATGGTGGCAGGCACCTGTAATCACAGCTACTCGGGAAGCCGAGGCAGGAGAATCACTTGAAACTGGAAGGTTGAGGTTGCAGTGAGCCGAGATCACCACCACTGCACTCCAGCCTGGGTGACAAAAGCAAAACTTCATCTAAAAAAAAATAATAATAATTTAACTCTAGGGATTATTTGACACTTTTGACTTATCATTACCCTAAACTCTTCCTTAGCTTACTTCACCTGGTTTTCTGACTACCTTTCAGATTTCTCCCTTGAACCTTCATCCATACCCATGTATTTGAGGCATTATTTTATATGCTGATACCTCTTAATTCTATGTATTCTTTCTGGCTTTGACCTTTCTGCTGAGTACTATTTATTAAGCCCCAGTATATATTATTTTATTAATTCTACCTACATTGAGGTAGAAGCTTATAGAGGAGGAGAAGGTAAATAACAGAGAAAATTTAAATATTTTGCCAAAAGTCACACACTTCATGAGATTAGGAGAACTGAAATTTGAACCCATATCTGGCACCAACACCTGTAAACATGCTACTTCACTGATTCCAATATGCAGCCATCTTCTGCTGTGCCTCTCAAACCAGAGCACACGGCAGTGTGCTAGGGACTATGTAGCATTAGGAGGTGAATGTGGAATGCTTTCCTTGAATGTTCATTTTGCTAAAATATTTGAGAGAAATATACTTTATTTTTAAGGCAAAATCAGAGATTTAAAAGAAGTTTATGCCAGCAGTAGTTGGTTGTTGCGGCACCCCCAGAATCTCCATATTTGGTTTCCTCTTTTATTGTGGCTATTTCAGTGGAAAAGTTAAGAGAAGCACACTCCTCCTGAGCATGCTCACTAGGATGAATATCCATTAGGCACATCAAACACAGCCTATCTTAAATTAAACTTTGATAGGAAAAGATTGTGATCTATTGTGATCTTTTCCTATCAAAGATAGTGAGGAAAAAATTCAACACTATCCAAATTTCCTTCTATTTTAAGATGAAGATAAGTGGTAAACATTCTAAAAGAAAATATAGACAGCTGTTTTATGAATTTGTGTTACTACAATAACAACCACAAATCTCAGTGTCTTAAAGCAAAATCTCTTCCCCACTTATGTTACATGTTGGCAGCTGCAGGTCAGTTGCTGTTGCTCTCCTTCACATACCCATCTGGTTCTAGGATCCTGGCCTAGAGCAGCACCTCTTTGAGTAGAGGGCAATGCTTTTGAAAGCATTCGCCTGATTGTGGTGAACATTACATCTTCTTGTGCTCTGTTGGCCACCGCACAGGCAAGGACTAGCCCAAAGTCAGTGGAGTGGGAATGAACTCTTCCTACAGGAAGTAGGGAGTGAAAAATTATTAAAGTAATACAATCTATCACCTTTGCCTTTATGTAACTTTACACTGTAGAAAGATTTTAATAGATTCCCTAAAGGCAGAAGTAACAAAGGAAAAGGTTAAATGGATTTGGCCATATAAAACTATAAAACACCTATTTAGCAAAGTAAAAGATAAAACATTTTAACAAATAATGTTAGAAAACTAAAGAGTTGAGGGATATAAATAGATTCCTAGAAAATTGATAGGGTAAAAAATTTGAGAAATTCTAAAAAAAAAATTAAAGTGTATTTGATATGAATTAAAATATATCCATTCAACTATATACAACTAGCCATGAAGAATAAAAAAAGAGGCTAGGCGCGGTGGCTCATGCCTATAATCTCAGCACTTTGGGAGGCTGAGGCAGGTGGCTCACAAGGTCAGGAGATGGAGACCATCCTGGCCAACACTGTGAAACCCCATCTCTACTAAAAATACAAAAAAATTAGCTGGGCGTGGTGGCACATGCGTGTGGTCCCAGCTGCTTGGGAGGCTGAAGTAGGAGAATTGCTCAAACCCAGGAGGCAGAGTTGCAGTGAGCCGAGATCACCCCACTGCATTCCGAGCTGGGTGACAGTGCGAGACTGTTTCAAAAAAAAAAAAAAAAGAAAGAAAGAAAAAGAAAGATGTATTTTTATTAAGATAGAAAGATGTTCTTGGTGGACAAAAAGCAAGTTACTAAAGAATATGTACATTACGATCAATTTTTTAAATTACACAAGTAAAACACGTTCATTATAAGTAAATTAGGAAACATCTAAAAATTTAATTACTTCTAATTTCATCATATATTAACATTGTAGAGTCAAGTTTTTTACTCAAACCAGTACACAGAAAGGTAAATATATATTTTTAAGTAATTATAAACTTATAAAAGAGTTGTAAAAATAGTACTACAGAGTTCCAGATACCCTTCATCCAGCTTCCTCTAATCTTAGTATATTGCATAACCAGGGTACATTTATCAAAAGTAAGAAGTACATTGGTATAATACCGTTAACTGAATTATACATTTTCTTTCTCCAGTTTTTTTACTTATATAATCCAGCTTGGGTGTCATATTGCATTTATCGTCCCCTTCAGTCTGTGAAAGTTTCTGTTTCCTTGTCTTTGATGGCCTTGTCACTTTTGAAGAGTAGTGATCTGTTTTCTTGTAGAATATCCCTCAATTTGCATTTTGTACATTCCCTCAATTGTACAGTGTTTTCTTACGGTTAGTAGGTTTGGGGGAATAATTCCACAGAGGTATAATGTGCCCCTCTCGTATCATAAAGGGAGCACAAACTGGTGATGTCAACTTTGATCGCTTGGTTAAAGTGCTATCCAGATGTCTCCACTGTTGAGCTACCATTTTTCTCTTTGTCCAGCCCATATTAAAGGAGAAGAGA